AAAAAAAAAAAAGAGTATGATGGACTTTCTTGCCTTGTCTGGCTTTGAACTGTGATCCTCAGATCTCAACCTCCTGTGTAGTTAGTATTATAGGCATAAGCCATGGCGCCTGGCCCCACTATATATTTTGAGGAATAGTTTGAAGAGCCTTGGTGTTAGTTCTTCTTTAATGGTCTTCTAGAATTCAGTCCCAGGCTATTTGTTGAGAGATTTAAGTTTATATTTATCTGTTGTTATTATTATTATTATTTTAGTATATTTCAGTTGTACCAGGGGGGACTTTATGACATTTCTACACAAGTACAAATGTATTCCCATCAGGGTCACCCTTCTATTACTGTTGTTGGGAATTTTTTTTTTCCCCATTGGTATTGGGGCTTGAAACTCTGGGCCTGGGTGCTGTCTCTGAGCTCTTCAGTTAGAGGTGAGTGCTCTATCACTTGAGCCACAGTGCCACTCCGGTTTTCTGGTGTTAATTGGAGATAAGAGTCTCATGGACTTTCCTTCCTGGGCTGGCTTTGAACCGAGATCCTCAGATCTTAGCCTCCTGAGTAGCTAGGATTACAGGTATGAGCCAACAGCACCCCACTTGTTGGGAAAATTTTATTACTGCTTTAATCAGCAGTCTTTTCTTATAAAGGTCTATTAGTAGATATTTTCTTTCTTATCATTTGACCTTAACACTTGGAAATTATCTTTTGTTAATAATGTTTATATTCTTTTTTTTTTTGTTCTTTTTAGAAGTTATTTCAGACAACGGGATATAGCTCAGTGGTAGAGTCTTGCCTAGCATGAGGAAAAACATGTTTTGAACCCTAGCTTTGGGAAAATAAAATTAGAAAGAATTCTAAGAGATCCTTGAATATTAGAATGTGTGAACATAACTAAAAATAATTGTTTTCTACTTCAGATACACATAAGCAACATAAACAAGAAAATGGTGACATTGAATCCCTGGGAGCTGTGTGTGATCTAGGCCATAATAGGTAAAGTAAATTTGGTTTTCACATTGATAATTTTTTTTTTTGTCGGTCATGGGGCTTGAACTCTAGGCCTGGGCACCGTCCCTGAGCTATTCAGCTCAAGCTCTTCAGCTCTACCACTTGAGCCACAGGGCTACTTCCGGCTTTTTCTGCTTATGTCGTGCTGAGGAATTGAAGCCAACGCCTCATGCATAAGAGGCAAGTATTCTACCACTGAGCCACATTCCCGCCCAATACATTGATATCTTGTATTAATTTAGTCCCTTGTCAGTTTCCAAAATCCTATCAGTTAGAATAGATCATAATTAACTAGACACTATTTTTCTTTTTCTTTTTTTTTTTTTTGTCGGTCATGGGGCTTGAACTCTGGGCCTGAGCGCTGTCCCTCAGCACTCAGCACTTCAGCTCAAGGCCAGCACTGTACCAATTGAGCTACAGCACTACTTCCAGTTTTCTGGTGGTTTATTGGAGATAAGAGTTTCACAGACTTGCCTGCCTGGGCTGGCTTTGAACCGAGATCCTCAGATCTCAACCTCCTGAGTAGCTAGGATTATAGGCGTGAGCCACTGGCGCCCGGCTATAAACACTATTTTTCTAATACAGACCTACATATTGGGAAAAGTATTACCATTTATGATGAATGAGATATTTTCCACTATTTTTTATCTAAATATTGGATTTTATGAAAATTACATAAGGGGAGATTGGAAAATTTTGCCTTCTTAAATATGTAAACTGTTTTGAAACTATTCTGGAGCCTTTTGAGACTTTTTGACTTTTAATCTTTACATTCTCCTTTACTGAATTTCAAAGATAGGGCAGTATGAGCTTTCATATATGCCACCTAAGTGTACTTACTGATAGAAATCAAATTCTAATCTCTTATCTTTATAATTTTTTCTATTTTAACTGTAGGTATGTTTTGACAATAGTAAAGATGAAACATTGGCTATCATTTTTAGCAAATTACTTGTCAGATTTTCTCTCTCAAGTTTCAGTCTTTTTCTCTCCTTTTCTCTTTTTGACTCACTCAGAATTTCATTATATTGGCCTTGAACTCATCAGTCTTCCACATTGGCTGATCCCTTTTCTTTTTTTGGGTCCGGTCGTGGGGCCTGAACTCTGGGCCTGGGCGCTGTCCTTCAGCTCTTCAGCTCAAGGCTAGCGCTCTACCACTTGAGTCATAGCGCCACTTCCTGGTTTTTTTTTTCTTTTCTTTTTGCTTATGTGGTGCTGAGGAATTGAACCCAGGGCCTCAGGCATGCAAGGCAAGCACTCTACCACTGAGCTACCTTCCCAGCCCCTGGCTGATCCCTTTTCTAATCCACTTTTCAAGATTTTTTTTCTTTCTAGATTTTTGTCTTATATAAAAACTGAGTTCTAATCAAAGCTTAGCTCTTTTGCATATGTATATTCAGTTATAGTAAATTAGCTATTTTCCTCTAATTATAGCTTTTTAACATAGCAGTTATACCTTATTTTCCCCCAAGTTGTGGGGCTTAACTCAGGGCACTGTTCTAGTTCTTTTGCTCAAGCTCTACTTCTGATTTTCTGGTGGTTAATTGAAGATTAGAGTCTCACAGACTTTCTTGCTTAGGCTGGTTTTGAACCCCAATCCTCAGATCTCAGCCTCTTGAGTAATTAGGATTACAGGTGTGAGCCACCAGCACCCCAGCTTATAGCACTTATAAATAGAATTGTAGTTTTGCCCCAGGCTTTTACTTCTGTGAAAAACATGTTAACTTTCATTCTCTTTTGGAAGTGCTCTCTTATTTGGATAAATTCCCACAATAGTATCAACATTTTGTCTTTTGATTTTTTTTTTTTTGTCAGTTGTGGGGCTTGAACTGTGGGCCTGAGCACTGTCCCTCAGGCTAGCGCTACCACTTGAGCTACAGCGCCAATTCCGGTTTTCTGGTGGTTTATTGGGAATAAGAGTTTTATGGACATTCCTGCCTGGGCTGGCTTTGAACTAAGATCCTCAGATCTCAGCCTCCTGAGTAGCTAGGATTAATGGTGTGAGCCACTGGCGCCTGCTGTCTTTTGATTTTTTTTTTCTGTGTGTGTGTGTGTGTGTGTGTGTGTGTGTCTTTTGATTTTTAATCTTGTTATAGTGCTAGGATTTCACTGTCCTCAATCTAACCATGGCAAGTGTATAAGGAGTAGATTGAGCAGTGGTTGCTATAAAGTTGTCTTGATTGTGATATTCACTGTTAGAAAGCTCCACAAAATGATATTTAAATAAAAATAATTGTCACTTATAGAAATCCTATCTTCAAAGTGACTTTACATTTGTTCACTCTGTCAGCTGTATTGCATTATTAAGTACTGTATTAGTGCCTGGGAATAGTATTTGAGAAAGGAGAACTTTATCACTCCTATCTAGTGGTGGTTTCTTAGTGGTATTGGTCCAAAGACTTGTTGGCTCTGTTTGAGGGCTTTTTGATAATTTTTTTGAAACTTTATTAAAGGTTAAATATGTTTTTTGAAGATTAAAACGGTGTTGGTATTCAGTCCCATAAATGGACCAGCAATAATATACAGGATAAGGAAAGCGATAAGTTCAGCAAGGGCAGAAGCAGGAATAGGCTGGAGCCTCATGGTGGGGAGCTCTGAGTAGCTATAGAAACAATTATAATGATACATAGGGCTTTTTGCATTTGAGCGGTTTGTCCCTAGGCTTGGCACAAACCCAAGTGGACTTGAAGGAAGGGTTTGGTTGGTGTAGGAGATTTGGGTGGTCTAAATGGGCCTCATGGGCACTGCCTCAAGGCCAGGGTTCAGGGTCCAGTCTTCTGTGGCCTGCTTGGCCTGTCAGAGGTCTCAAACATTGAAGTGACTGATATGGGGTTCCCATTCCAATAGCTGTTACAGGATACTGACTTACTGTGTCTCTATTTCCTGGAGGTTGGGGTTTCTCTTTGGGTGAGGTCCAGAAGTACTTGCTGCAGTTGGATTCCCAGACACTTTCTGTAACCTGGCTCCTGATTGCAGCTGTGTAATGATGCTACTAGGGTATGGCAAGCTCTTCAGGATAGAACTGTGGGAAGAGGCCACTCAACCATTGAGGCTACTGAACTACAGTGGGTGGCTGGGTAGGTGTGAATTAAGTATTGGGTCAAATGCCAAGATGTTGCAGTAATGAATATGGGATTAGAGTTGCAAGGCTAGTAATGTTCCTGCTTAGCCCATCCAAAGGGTAGGTAATAGAAGGTGGCACCACTTGGTCAGACATGGGCTGGGCCACAGGGCCAAGGGAGAGCATCAGGTGAGAGTCACATTATCTTCTGAGCTTCTTTTAGTAGTACTCCCTGGGCCCAACCCAAGAGGGATTTTCCTGCTTCATGTATGTAACGGAAAAACCTCATGTTCTCCTTCAAGGAAGCAGGCTTCGCTGGAATTTCTACAAGCAATCTTGAGTTCTGCTTCATTGAAGCCAGGTTGCTGCCATCTGTTTCTCTCCTTCCTTTCTGTAAACAGGGATTGTAACCATTGGGGCTACTTAGTATTTTGCTAAGTGGGTGTATGCGGTGAAAGGAAGTTCCTGAAGGTGATATCTGGGGACACAAAGTTTAACCTCAAGGTCCTGATCCCTGAAGTGTATACCATCATACCTGGCCAGAATAATTTTAAAGCCTCTGTTCAATGATGAAATTCTATGATCTGGACCCTGAGGACATTGTAATCATGTAGTTTTAGTTAATTTTTGTTTAAGTTGTATTTAAATATTTGGGTGCTCATCAAACTTTATACTCTTTAAGAAATACTGTTGACTTAAATCTATACCAAGTAAAATGTTTATAATTGGGAGGCTGATACACAAATTGGGCTGGAATATTGCTCTAATTGCCACCATGCCTCCCTAGAATAAGCTGCCTTTCGATGACCGGGACGAATTGAGTGAAATCGGAACGGACAGATACGGGGCAGACAATTTATTTACACTATGCAGATACATTGGGTGAATGGAAATTTTCCTTCTTATAACTTGAATTGTTGTCATTTTTCCTTTTAGCACTGCCTCTTTCCTGTTGCAACCCATTTCATCACCAGATAGAAGTAGTACAAAGGTATAGTCTAAAACACTTTTCACTTAATTCTGGCTAAACTAAATCATATTATTAATTTTCTAATTAACAGCTTAGTTAAACTTGTTTTATTTTCATATTTCTGACTATTTATACATTTTATATTATCCTTACCTTAATTTTCTTTTGCTAAGTAGGAGTATTGGAATTGCTTTATTCCTCTAGTGGACATGTAATTATTAATAATAGTAATAAACTTTTTGCTGGGTGTGTGTTTCTGACTGAAATCCCATTGCCCAAGAGGTTGAGGAAGGGGGATTTTGAGTTTGAAGTTAGCTTGGTCTAAATAATAAAATATTGTTCCAATTAAAAAAAGTACTTTTTACCTGTGTCCTGCTAGTGAAGGAAGTTTCAAGATCAGTTATTATTATTAAGATTTTAACATTACATGTTTCTTTTTCTTCAGGATATAAAAATGAAAACTCCCAAAGAGAAAAATGAAACTCTTTGTAAGAATGTACCAGAATTTGAATTGGAAGTCTCCTCCGTATCAGACATTGTAAAAAATACAGATAATAGTCCATCTGAACAATCTCTGCCAGCCAAAAATAGTGATCCATTCCAAAAAGAACAAGATCATCTGGTAGAAGAGGTTAGAAAAAGACTGTTAATATGTTATTACTCATTGTTGTTGGGCTCAGAAGTGAAATACACTTAATTACTGAGTAATCGGTAATTTGAGGTAAAAGCAGCTGTGGATAATAAAAATCATTGTTAAAGCAAAGTTAGACTTTGAAAAAAAGAAGTATGAATAGATTTCATATAAACTTGTTAACTGGGGCTGGGAAGATGGCTCAGTGGTAGAGTGCTTGCCTTGCATGCCTGAGGCCTTGGGTTCAATTCCTCAGCACCACATAAGCAAAAAGAAAAAAGCCGGAAGTGGCGCTGTGGCTCAAGTGGTAGAGCGCTAGCCTTGAGCTGAAGAGCTTAGGGACAGTGCCCAGGCAGAGTCCAGGCCCCACGACTGGACCCAAAAAATAAAAAATAAACTTGTTAACATTACATTCAGGATTTAGAATCTACTTTCCATACTACAATTCTCAGTCAGAACTGTAACAATTATTACATAATTTTTTCGGTAAATGTAACCAGTGATTATAGTTAAATACTTTGTCAATGCTTTGTGTTTGTTGCTTCCTTTTTTTTTAACATTAGCATAACATTCAGTATTACCACTGAGCAAAGGTTGTTTTTGCTTCATAAATATTTTTAAATTAAATGCATTGCTATTAATGAACTTTATTTTTCCAGCTAGCCTTGTCCCTTAATGGTATTGACTGCATCCTCCTTTTACTGCTCAGTACTATGGAATTTACACAAACTTCTCAAGCTATTCAGTGACATTTTTATTACATATTCCACAATATGCCTTAGCATTATTTGAATTTGGTTATGCAAGCAGGAGAAAATCAGTTTCTTTTTTTGTGTAGGTGTGCTGGTCCAGGAGCTTGAACTTAGGGGCCTGGATGCTGTCCCTGAGATTTTATGCTTAGGCTGGTGCTGTACCACTTGAACTGTAGCTCCACTTTCAGCTTTTAAGTGGTTAATTGGAGGTCTTACAGACTGAGGCTGGCTTCAAACCATGATTCTCAGATTTCAGTTTCCTAAGTAGCTAGAATTATAGGCATTGGGCCACTGGTTATTTTTTTTTATTTCAGAATGATGTAAAGCATATTTGGGTTTAGTGCACATGAATCTAGGTTTTGGAGTTTCCTCCTTTATACTGACTGATTAAACTAAATGAGCATTGGTTACATGAAAGAGAACTAAATGCCGCTCATTTTTCTTTTTTGTAATATGCCGGTCAGTTGTATGGTTTCTTTTTTTTTTTTTTTTTGTCGGTTGTGGGGGCTTGAACTCTGGGTCTGGGCACTGTCCCTCAGCTTTTCAGCTCAAGGCGAGCAGGTGCTCTACCACTTGAGCTACAGCGCCACTTCCGGCTTTTTCTGCTTATGTGGTGCTGAGGAATTGAAACCAGGGCTCATCCATGAGAGGCATGCACTCTACCACTGAGCCAACTTCCCAGCCCAGTTGTAGGGTTTCTAAATACTTCTGAGTCTCCAAAGTCCTAATATCTTTACTGACCACATTACAGAAAAGATGTCTCTTTTTTCCCCCCTAACTGTGGAAAGCAGTTTACATTTTCTGCTTGGTAGGGTTTAAATTAGTAGAACATGATAGGAGAGAAGAGGAACGTCCTACTATCTCATAAAACAAAGTAAAGTGAAATTACATTTTATTAATGTATTTAAAATGGGGCATTTATTCCAAGTCTTTCCATTTCCTAAGAGGCAATGTCATTCTTTCTGACGGAGGCATAGAATTCCAGTGTGTGTGTGTGTGTGTGTGTGTGTGTG